GTGTGCTCTTCCGATCTCCCCAAAACCCCAAAACCCCTTTTGCATTATAATTTATGAATTTGGAACAAATGAACAAATAATAATCTATTTTCAAAAGAAAAGCTTTAATTCACAATAGGTTCATTGTTGTTTGAACTTAGAGATATCTCGATAAATAATTTGCTACATTTTATATTTATGCAATGCAAGATTTCATGCTCATCTAAAGTCGATGCTTGATGGAAAAAGAGTTGAATTACCGTTGCCAATAACTCCGGTACCGACTGCGCCCTTGCTGCTTCTAGATTTGGGAAAAACGTTCCAGAATCGTAGAGTCTCGTCACCTGCTCCAGTAACTATTGATGAGCCATCTGGGGACATAGCGAGGTATAAGACTCTGTAAGTATGTCCTGTGAGAGTGGCTATCTTCTCCATTGATGGATACTTCCACACAATCACCTGGTTTAATGAGTAACCGTGAGTACTCACAAGTTCATCATTTGTCTTAGAGAACATCAAATTGCACACTTGAGAACCAGTATTGACAAAGTTTATTGGTTGAAGTGTTAAAGTGTTCCAGAATCTGATGCATTGGTCTGCAGTGCCACCGCCTGTAGCTAATAAGCCTCTCTATTATGGATTCCAGCCGATGGCTTTAACTGCAGCTTGATGCTAAGAGAATTTAGCTTAATGAGTATTACTATGCTGAGACCATATGAATAGTTTATTATCATTGCCTCCAGATGCGAGTTAGTTTTCATCGTGGAAACTCCACTTTAAGCCACATACTTCTTATTTGTGGCCTAGAAGCTTTTAATGGAAATTTTCCTAAGCTCTAACATCTCTAATCAGAATTGATCTATCTCGACTGCCAGTAGCAATGAGTGAGCCATTCCATGATGAGGAGCCAACTCTGTTTTAATGGCCTGCGAGAGTTCTAATATTTTTTTAATGATTCACATCCCATATTTATATCTCTCCATTCCCGTCTCCCACACAAAGATGAGAGCCTCTCTATGACCAAGAAACTGAAGTGACGTAATTATCCTCACCGAGATCACACAGTTAAGAGACCGTTGAGGTGCATGCATTCCATATATATACAGACTGTCCTAGGGCTACAGCTAGAATATTTGATGATGACCAATCAACTAAGTTCAGATAGAAATCATCATTAAGATTAGGCGCATCTAGAACTTTGTAAGGTTATTGAGGAATTTTACGATGAATTTACTCAACTGGCAATTATTATTGCTCCGGTTCTAGATTTATCAGAGATGTGAAAGGATGAGTTGAGAGATTATCTCCAAATTATCTAACTACTCCAGTTTATTTCTTAAACTTAAAGAGTTTACTGTTCAGTAGGCTACTGCCATTGGCGCCTTAACCAAACTGCTGTTAATTTTTACTGTTCTAAACATTCACATCTAGATTCTCTTTCATAGCAAATGACGACATGAAATCGTTGTTCTAGGTGTTAAATAAAGAGAGATTTCTGTTAGAATCTAGGATTGGGTCTTCACTTTATTCAGAGCCGTTAAATATTTATTGTTCTAATAAGTTATTATAGTTGTGCAAATTATGCGAGTCGTCACGCTAATTCGGCCCAATATTTTATCCAGTTTGGGATTGTGGTGTTATTCTATAGCCGTTAACTTGATCTAGGGTTGAAATACCACCAAAGATATTTGAGAAGCCCCTTTGATGTCTATTAGTAGTATTAGATGTATTGTTAGGGTTTTAACCTAATTAGTTACCATTTATTACCCCTGATTGATCAGCGTCCATTGGCTCTCCTTCTCCAGTCAAGCCTAGTGAGTTAATAAGCTAGCTGTTTCTAGAGTAATTGTACTTAAACTCTTCTTCTTACTTTTAAGAGACAGCTTCAAACTTAGCTTATAGATTTTCCCCCATTCGGCACGGAATAAATCGGTCCATGAGTTTTTCATTTGATTTACCTGCAGATAATACCTAATTACTCACTGAGTGAGGTCCAGAGTCTTGAGGTGAAAATAGCTTTCTTGAAAAGTTTTATTTATTATTAGACTCGCTATGCATTATACTCTTGTATGCTTTAGCTTTCCTTCCAGTAGTGAGGGGATAGTTGAATCTATTTGTTGCCTGACTTTCCTTTAGATTTCTGAGCGCAGAATTCTGTTAATATAAATCATTAATGTTGGCACCAGTTTCCCTTCGACTGACTGCTCCAGTGTGATTATTATTCATCATACTGTTGACTGAATTATTTGTGATGGGAGAGAGAGTTGAATTATTCAGATTATTGAAATTCAACAGATTTTACTATTGGGATCTCATGACTCCTTAACTTCCTCCATTAGTAAGAAAATTAGAGGGATCTCCCGTTTAGCAATTATTCCCTTCCTGCTTGAACATGAAAATCTAACTACTAGATGCTTAGTTCTCCTAAAATCTGGCAGATTGCTTTTATCTTTCTTGAGGCGAGAATACTGAATGCATTGTGTTTGGATTAGTATTGTTATTTAAATTCGTGAAAATAGTCTGTTAGGACTGCCTATTATCCATGTTGTTTAAATTCAAATTAAAATACTTATTTTAATAATTTTAATATAAAATCTCAATGGAAAACATAATTAGCTAAAATACAATTATTCCCAAACCAAGAAAGAAGGCTTGTTGCGTATGTAAAATGACAAAAAAAGTTAGAGATAATTGCATTAGAAATAATGACGAAGAAGCATGCTACTAATTTATAAGAGCTCATAAAATTTGCTTAATTGCAAAAGGGTTCAAGGTCGATATGGACTGATATTCACTCTATATTAATCATTTATTTTGGTTTTTATCATCGATCAACATTCATTCTCTAACATTGCTATAATTTTAATGGTTGTTAATATTTTAAAGTTCCATTCAAGTTTAATCAGCATATTGGTCTATTGGGGTTTTGGGGTTTTGGGGTTTTGGGGTTTAAAAGTTTTTAGAGGCTTAAG